AGTCAAAACTGTACATTGAATATTTGTTTAAAAGAATACACACCCCAAGTGTGATCTACCATCGATAAGGAAGCCAAAAAATTTAGGTTTTAGAATTTTTGTGTACTTGTCTGTATGTCCGGGATAAACTCAAAAAGTATTGCATGGATTTACTTCAAATTTGGCACGAATATTATTAAGAATTCGGGTCAACATATAGGCTAAATATTATCACGAAATTCCACCCTTAAGGGGGTAATACGGGGTTTGGAAGTTTGTATGAAAGTCCTTTGTTTTTGAAGCAAGAGACTTGAAATTTAACATGTGTGCTCTATAAGAGATGTTGTAGAGGTGTACTAGTAATGTATCTTTAGAAATAAACCACCTTTTGGGTTCAAAAAGTATGTGCAAAGAACTAACTCCACGCATACGAAGTCGCGGGCGGCCGCTAGTCATAATTTAAATGATAAGCGAGACAAAACTCTCAACGATGAAAAACACCGTGCTGATTGAATAACTTTACGATTGGTATGCAACGATATTAAATACCCTAGATACACCACGAGCGCTCAAAATGTATCCCAATCAAAAAGTGCTTGAACTCCACTCACTTCTTGGTTCACAGTCACGCGCGGACCGTTACAAAGTCAAGATGCCACAGAGCTCCGCGAAAAAATGCCAAAATAATATTTGGAGTACGAAAGGTGACGTTTTTTCGACAGGTATCTAGTCAATGTTTGTTAATTTAATGCATTTGAAGCAAATTTTGATCTAATACTTACTATAAACTGATTAAATATAAAATATTTGTGATATTCAAATGCATGGTACGGTTATACGTCGCCATATAGCCGTCTCTTTTCCTCGCGGTCTGTGCCTGCTATATTGCTAACAGCGCGTTCAGAATTGCGCGAGTCAAAGAACTAAGGTCTTAATTCTTCTGCATATAGCAATAAGTCGTAAAATTTTACGAGCTTGCATTTCGAACTGTCAGAAGTCGCATGCGTTTTATTTAAGGCCTTATAGGGTATGTATTAAAGGTCACTTTCAATATTTAAATAATGCCTTATATTGATTTAGACTACGCGATCATCTAACGGAGCTCCGTGGATCTTTCAATCTACCTTTTGGACAGGTTTCGGGCACGATTTTGTTCCTGTTGGTGTATCTAGGTTATTTAATATCGTTGTTAGTATGACGTTATGAATAATAGCTGAAAATTGGTTGCAACTGGACAAACGAATTGTGATTTACACGATAGTATTTAGTTGCAGTAATTACCTACAAAATGGTTACAAAATAATACGGTTCTATAAAACATCAGGTACTACACGAGATATTAATAAGATGTGTTATTGATTAATAAATTTTTACCCACTGAACACCAGCTTATATAAATCGTACGGAACATCAAATAGAGTAAAAACTACTATCACTTGACCCTTTTTTTTTAGATGAGGCGTTTTATATTCGACAGTTTATGTTATTGAATCAGAAACAATGGATATTGGTTTTCGTTTCGTTGCGATCCGAAATATAATATTGCTTGGAGACTTATAATAAGATGTCGTCATTCGTGTTTAAAATAATCGTACGATAAAATAGGGGATGAGCCGTATATAATCATAATAATATTTAAATGTCTTTATATGCGTATAAATAAAAACAATTCTAGTAGGAAAAAATAATACTCTATAAAGACTTTTATTTTATTTTCCGATATTCTAGGTAGCCAATAGTCTTCGAATTGAATTAAAATTAAATAATCAACAATATTTTGAATTGAGAAGTATATTATTAAACATTTGAAAGAAGAAAAAGCAATTTAAATTATATTTTTTCTTCTTTCAATTGTTTAATACTTGTAAAGGTATTCTGTTGTCATTGTGGGTAACCAACAATGTGAAGAGATAGCACTGCCTTGCAGCCTAAGAAGCCATCAGTGCATTCTCCCAGATAGACTATAGGTTCGAGTCCCTTCTGCTGCCTGGTCCGCGTGGAATATTTTCCTAGTAAAATATTTTTCAGATTTAGTTCAGAATAGTCACAAAATATCGAAAGAATTTAATCACAAGCTCCATTTCCTGTATTTCAATTTTAAAGTACTTCACTTCGGAAGCGCGTGTTCATCAGTTCACATAACATACCAGACCTTGCACTATAATAGTTAGTGAGAAACAAATGAACTTGGCTGCTGAATGTTTAAGAGGGGGGGGGGTCGTCAGGCAAAACTGCAGTTTCTGATGCGAATTTGAAATAGACTGTTATAAATTTTAAATGAATCGTGCCGAGTGCTTGCTCGCACTGTGACAGTTCCCCGCCGAGTAAGCTATTTGGATAGCTGCTATAAGATGTAGCTTATTTTTAATGTAAACTTTACAGGGCATAGATATCAGAAACAGTTAATATCTCTGTGGGACATGACAATATGAAAGTTTCGCTAGAACACAGTAGGTAATAATAGTTGATATTAATTCAGTTAATATTTCAAGATTTCAATAGCTGAGAAAATTAAATTGAAAACAACAAAACGTGAAACTGAAGTTTCGACGGCTAATGCTTATCCCACACCTGCGCGATGACGCTTCAGGTGGCTTTGGTACTAAAATGAGCTAAAGCTTAGCTTTCAAACTTTAAATTAAGTACGCTCCTTCAGCTGCACACATACAAATTTATCGTTTTCCACGACCTCTGTTAGCGTGTCAAATTATCGCCATTCAAGCTATCGTCTAGAGTCTATATACTACTAGTCTTTATATTATACATTAATTAGTCTATTTGACGACCTCCGTGGTCGAGTGGTTTGTACGCCGGGTTTCATGGTGTCGCTGACTCGAGAGGTCGCGGGTTCGAGACCCGGTGGGGGAAGATGTTTGTGTGATGAATACGAGCATTTGCACTCCAGTCATGGATGTTTCATATGTATTTTATATAAATATACTGTGTACTGTATATGTATTCTATCCGTTACCCTAGCATTCCATAACACAAGCCTTACAGTGCTTACTTTGGGGCTAGGCTAATTGGTGTGAGTGTGGAAATGTTTATTATTATTATTTATACACGCAGCCTCCTAATTCATTACGACAGAACTAATTCAAATTTGGAACGCTAATTTTAGCGTATTTGGTAACAAAGCCACTCAAAGCTTCGTCGAGTAGGTGTGGGCGAAGAATGAGCCTAAAACTTCATTTCTAGTTTGATCGTCACATGTTTTGGTGATTGTCGAGAAAGACCAGTTTTCAGTTAAACTTCAAATTGTGGTTATGTAGCTTGGTGGATATATTTGGAGATTGGAATTACAAACCTACAATGTACACGGTTGACTTTATCTAAAATAAGTGATCGTCCAATTGAAATATTTCTCAGAATCAAACACTGTTTTGGAATGTTTAGAAATAGTTTCAGAATGCTTATTATAACTATTTGTATTCTACGAATCCGCATAAATGTTGTTTACGCAGATGGCTAATTAGCATTCGTGTATAGCGCTTAAAAAGCATCGTATAGTCGTCTTTGTGGACTTACTATCTTGATTGCGGAAAATATAAGCATCGCCTATATAAAATGAACAAAGCCCTTTTCATTTTCATTTTATCTACAACATAACAATACTTAATCCTTCACAACTATACCATGTAATAGTAACTTTATAAACTCTATAAAACAAAACCATCTATCCGTGTATTTTAAAACAAGGACACGCAAATTGATCAAATAATAAGCTTTTAAAAAAAAAAAAGTAGCGCTTAACACTGCAAGCGTTTAATTACAAATCAAATTTAAGAAAGTTCTTTATTCGTGTTGATTGACTAGAAAAACCTTGATCTTGCAATTCGTAGTTAAGGATAATAATAAAGTACCTCGGACATAGTGCTGACATTTGGTTACAAATCAAAGAAAGCTATCCATGCGTGTGATCTTGTGATTCCTAGTCGGGGATTATCTTGAAGTCCACTAGACACACTGGATACCTCTAATTACAAATCTACGAAAGCTATTGAACCGTGTTATGTCATTAGTATATGAGTCCGTAGCCATCGTTCAACTATGACATCAAGCAGGATCTTGAGATTCCTTGTCGGCAATATCTTGAAGTTCATTCGACACACTGGATATTATCTTTAATTACAAATACTATTGCACCGTGTTAAGTCACTAGTATATAGGTCTACAGTCATCGCTGACCTATGACATCAAGCAGGATCTTGTGATTCCTAGTCGGCGATATCTTGAAATCCACTCGACACATTGGATATCTTTATTTACAAATCTAGGAAAGCTATTTAACCGTGTAGTCACTAGTATATAGGTCTATAGTCATCGCTCACCTATGACATCAAGCAGGATCTTGTGATTCCTAGTCAGCTTTATGTTGTAGTCTACTCGACACACTGGATATCTTTATTTACAAATCTAGGAAAGCTATTGAACCGTGTAAAGTCACTAGTATATAGGTCTATAGTCACCGCTCACCTATGACGTCAAGCAGAATTTTGTAATTCCTAGTCGGCAATATCTTAAAGTCTATTCGACACACTGGATATTGTCTTTAATTACCACCTTTAATTACCCACTTTAAAATGTTATTATCAGTCCAAGAAATTCCAATTTGGCCGCTACATCTTCGTCTCTAATAATGTCATCATCAGTAGAAAATTTCGCCCCGCTTCCCACACTCAGCACCCTCCGGGCTCGCTACAAGAAGGAGCGCATTTAGTAGTATCATTATAGAGTATTTTCTTATTATTTAGATTTGATCAAATAATTAGGTTCTTTGTTACCCCCGAAATATGGCTGATTTACCCCCGGAGGGGTAATTACCCCCAGGTTCTGAACCCAGGCACTAGTATATAGGTCTACAGTCATCGCTCACCTATGACATCAAGCAGAATCTTATGATTCCTAGTCGGGGATATCTTGAAGTTCACTCAACACACTGGATATCTTTAATTGCAAATCTAGGTAAGCTATTGAACCGTGTTAAGTCTCTAGTATATAGGTCTACAGTCATCGCTCACCTATGACATCAAGCAGGATCTTGTGATTCCTAGTCGGCGATATCTTGAAGTCCACTCGACACCGGTAGAGCGCGCGGTCTGACGCCACAATGTCGTGTATTCGCAGCGCTGACGGCTGCACAGAATGCCACTTGGCCCGGCCGGCCAATACGTTGTCCGCCCAGTGTGCCGAATTGGTCTTGACTCGGCCGTCGTAACTGTGGATAGATAACATGTTATTTAACTACGCTCTCTGTGTACTATTGTAATAGGAATAAAATAAGCGTCGTTGTTGGAAGATTTTATTTAATTTGCAATATTTATGCTTCAATTGTTTAGGTCAAATCTTTAATGTATTACATCTAGTTCTAATTCAAGGCAATCTTAGATTAACACTGAAAATATAATAGTTCTATTGTTATATTTTTTTAAATAAATATATTACAAAAGCTGAAAATTACTTAATGTCTTAAAAGTTATAATAAACCAACAAATCTACCTACCTAACTGAATTTTTAAGTGGTTATCCTCAACCGATTGAGATGACATTTCGCACACATTGAGTTTGACGATAATTCATGACGTACTTTTCAATCCAATATGGTCAATGGCCCAAAAATAGTACTACCCAATGTTTTGTGTAGTCTCATGATTTATTGAGAAATTACCGCCCGCGTTCGACAACCATCGTATTAGAGCATTAATAAATAAAAGCTTATTTTAAAACGGATTTAAACTTTACAGAACTTTTAGCTGACCCGGCGAACCTCGTGCTATTTAACTGTCAACGAATGTGACAATGATTTTTTTGGTTGAATCAAATTAACGATTTTACTATGAATGCGAAAAAATTCAATAGAAGAGAAATTGAGTGAAAGACAGGTGACCGGCTTCAGTATCATCCCGACTCTGTACTGTTTACGGGATGACAAGTGACGCCGGTAGACGCCTGACGGGAATCACTGATCGGCTTGTAACTGTACCCCAGGCACAAATATTCGAATCGCCATCGTCATAGTTTCCATGGAAATTTGGCGGGTGAAAATTAAGGATTTTATATAATTTTAATTGTATAATTCCTATGTCCAAAATTATAAAAAACATTGTTTTAAGTGGACGATAAATAAAAAAAGCTAACGTATGCTAGGCAAGGTTATTTTCAGGAGCAAAGATAAACGTCAACAATCTAGTACTAAGTTCATTAATAATAACATAAAAACTTTTTATAGGTATAGAAATAGAAAAAGTAAAATATTAAGAAGCTAGTGAAGAACTGGGTGCCTGTGACTTTCTAAGTGTAATTGATTCAAGACACAAATTTTCATCGCTCATTTGCTAATTAAAATTTATTTTCGCGATAAAAAGTAACCTATTTTCTTCTACGAAGGTTTTTTATCTTAATACTAAAAATCATAAAAAATGAGCCAGTGTTTAAGGTGTAAAATAATAACAGACAATTTACATTCGTATCTATAATATCAGTGTGGCTTTCTATCGATTCACTTATGTCAATATAACCCAGATGTTTCACTCAAGCTTATAGGTCTAATTCAGTCGTAAACTTAGCAAGCGATCTATCTTCCGAACTACCTAGTAAAGATGGAGCTAAATGTGCAATAAAAAATTGTCCAAAGGTGCCTCAACCCATTCTTATATATCATCAATCATTTTCGACAGGACTCAAAGAGCTATACAAAGTGTATGATATTCGTCATAATCCGTCATTGGGACGTGAAGACGCGGCCCGAGCAGAAAGTTTATATATGTATGTATGTAATATTATATACAACGTCGCTTAACGTTACCATAGAAATATATTTAGTTTCAGTAACGACAGCGAAGTCATTGATCTAATACTTAATATATCTTTTACATCCATCAAAATGAGATACATTAGCTCATATGAATCATTCAAAGGAAACAATATCTAATATTAGTGTGAGCGGGACTTCGTCTGTGAGGGACATTATTTGTTTCTCATACAAACTTTAACCTACTTTCTCATCCCTTAAGAGGGTGAGTTTTGGAAAATCCTTTTTAATGCACGCCTGCATAATTAAAATTAAATGTTTGCCTAATGAGAATGTTTGATATGAGCTGTGCGTTGATAGTCCAGTCAGAAATTAGAATATCTAGATGTACAATAAAAGTAATGACAAACAGTACAATCGGGATATTGTTTCAATCACCTATCAATGTTATAAAAAGACCTCACATTAAAAACAAGTAAATCTACAAACGATTTCAAGAACACTGGAACCTTTAATAAGCATTCTATTTGTTGAGTGAGCATTATCCAACTGTGTGGTACTATGACTTTCACAATACCGGCTTAAAAACAGGTCAATGCTTGTACAATTGCAATCGGTGTCGAATGCAATTGCGTGGAAATCAGTTCTATGGTTCTGCCAGTGTTATGTTTTGAATGGAATTATAACCTCTGAATAAGTATCATATGGAAATAACTCGAAAACATATAGTCTGTGCGGAAAGAGAATGGGCGTGGCGAAAAACGGAACTAACATTAAGATTTTTATTTGGCAATCAAACCCAGCAATCTGTAAAACGTCAAAGTTTTGTATTGATACGGATTTGTTTGTTGTTGTATTTTTCTTGCGTTTTTTTGTATTTAATCATGTCTAAAAGGGGTAAATCCTTACAAATACGGTAGAAAAGCACTACAGCGCCCTCCAATCTAAATCCCATTCTCTTTCCGCACAGACTCTACATATGTAGCTAAATTGTAATTTGGTATAGAAATTACAAGTATAGTATTGTCTCCTTTTTACATTCCTATTGATGCATATGAAAAAGACACCATCACCCTATTTCGCAATATTCGCTACAGTAGTGACAATCTTTATCAATTATACAATTTTACTCGTGTCGCCATCTTAGTTCCCCATTAGTAGTCTGTGGTTCCCTAGTTTGTTTACAAATAAACTCAAAGTTGTTGACGTAATTCTTATTGGAGGAATTTAAAACCGAGAAAATAATTGAATTAAGGATTTAAACATAGATATGAAGTGTTCTGTAATTGATTGTGGTCTGTGTCAAAACAGAAATAGACCTAACCTAAGTTTTCACCGTTAATTAACCAATTCAACTAAAAATTGCTATTTTTACAAGAAGTTGATCATGAAACTATCAAAAAAATACAGCTGAAGAAACTAAAGGCTACAGGAACCAGAGCCTGTAGTGCCTTTTAACGAATTTTCATGTACTTTACAGTTGTTATCTAGCAACGCTAGTGTTGTAATCACCTCATCGATCTTGGTCTTACCGATATTTTATGTCCCATTTTTTTAGTTTGTCTCAAATAGCAAATAGAAAAAGGAAATGGTTAGATGCGATAGGGCAGGAGAATATTCGGTCAGGTACCAAGAATATTGAATGCTAATTGCACTTTCGGGAGAGTTGCTTTAATAAAACTCTTAACATATTTAGGGTAAAAGATGACGCAGTCTCGCCAATAGTTTCAGAGGCAAGCTTATTTACTTTGTACTTATAACTCGAAACAGTGTATTAACCCTAAGAATTAATTAAATTTACGAAAAACAATAAACTAACAACTAACTAAATAGAAAAGCGATTACAAATTTGTTACTCTACTAAGATAACAAATAAGATATTCCGAATGAAAATTATGATAAATTTCACTTACTTATTGAAATTTTTCACTTTTCCTTTTCAATCCACTATAGCCAAATTAAGTTATTTAAGCTCCACTCTGTATGAAATAAAACAGGGAGAAAAACGCAGCCTATGTTTCTTGACAGTTCTTCTCTGTATTCAAGGCGTAGCTTTCGACTTTCATAATTATGTGCTTGTAATAGTCTAAACGGATTAAATGAATTTTTTGACATCTGAAATAAATGTTTGTAATTAAAACTTGAACTATTATTTTAAATAATAAATCATCGATATGCCCTTCAGTTACTTTAAGTTTAATATTGTAATATTTTTTATTAAAGTTAATAAAGCACCAGCCTTTGTCATAATGTGTACATGCAGACGAATCGCGAAAAGGATTGTGAAATTTACTTAGCAATTTCTTATTGCTATCCTTGTACTTAATAACAGTGGTAGAACTTAACTTAGGTTAAATAAAACTCTCTCTCTCTTCAACTCTTTTCTCCAGTATATTTGTTTGACCCTATATGCTTTGACCACAGCAAATAAAACATAACATCGACAAAAAGTATCGACTAAAGACATCCTACGTCCGCCATGTTTGCTCCCCGATTTGTTTATATAGGTAAACACGCGTAGAACATGCATGTGTCATTTCCATATGATACTTTTTCAGAGCTTTTAATAAATACCTATTCACGTGAGTCATTTGAAAATCAAAAGAAAAAATATACTAGAAAAAAAGCTATTCTGCTCAAGTATAAGATGGTATTCGAGCATGCGCTTTCCGCCAAAACGTGCCAAAACAAACAGTGTCGAAGTTTTGCTAGTATTTCTGAGGTGAATATTTTTTCCCGTAGAGAACCCCGGCAGATACATTTTGAACAGGTATTTTACTGGTATATAATTTCGCTGAGTCATACACGGACCATTCAACCAATTTTCCAATAGATTGGGGTGTTGTCACCGACTAACAAGGACAGTGACGTTAGAAAATGTCAACGTTTTTATGGGCGGCAACTTTATGTAAGAGTGACTGATGTTTTTTGTGGTATTTTTTATTGAATATTTCTTCGGCTATTGTGAACTTAACCTCTTTTGTTGTACCTGTGCATCGTGCGAATGAACATAAATAAGGAGTATTGTTCGAGGAAATGCTGAAATAACGAAATAAACTCTTTATTAATTTTATCTGCGCTCCTGTGAAGCCGATCATTTAAAAACGATTAAAGGTCATTGATCTAATACTTAATATATCTTTTACATCCATCAAAATGAGATATATTAGCTCATATGAATCATTCAAAGGAAACAATATCTAATATTAGTGTGTCCGGGACTTCGTCTGCGAGGAAAAAGGATTGATTAAATACTGCTTGTTATCGTTACTTAAGTAGATTTTTTCATACAATAATTTTAGATTTAGTTGTGAGCAATCGCTTCTAATAAAACATCACTATGTTATCACTTATGTCAAAAACAAAAAATGAATTTAAAAAACGGTGATTGTCATTAGATTTAAACAAACCATTTTTGTTATTAACTCCTACAGTTAGCCTGGTCGTGGTAAGTACTTGCTTTTGTC